GAGCTACCTACGCTTCTGAACGAAGCCGACTGAACTAGAGTCGACCATGCAACACAACTGGGTGAGTTCACGCACTGCTGAACCAAACGTTCAACTTTGGAAACGGGTTATCAACACGCAAAACCCGTCTCTAACCCCTCGGTCCCTAGCAACCATGTCACCCGAAGGAAGCGCGTGGGTTTTGCTACTACCAGACTGAACGAGCATAGACAGGAGCAGTCGGGATCCCTGAGGTTGGGACCCGGACCTTCGGGGCATTCATATCATGCCTTAACCACCAAGCTATTTATACACTCAAAGACCAAAGTTGTTAGGTCGGTCTCCTCTTTTCTCTCTCTTCACTGCAACCCGGGTTTTGTTCCATGCGTGCTGTTCGCTGGATACTTTTATGTATTTACTTCTTTGATGGTGTACTTGTTCTGGCTTCGTCACACCTGTCATTGTATTGTGCTCTCGAGGCTTGCCTAATATGATATCGGAGATGTTGCCTATCTCATCGATTCGTCCGGATCATCAGATCTGTAATACTGTTGAGCATCTTGGGGTGTTCGTGTGGAGAGCCTGCACATCGTAGTTGTACTGATTCCCTCGAGCTGCTCATATCGTGGATGTGAGGAAACCATCTGCTCGCGGAGCCCATACATAACCAACAGACCAAGTTGGCGCTTGCCGTCTCAGGAATCCCAGGTAGAGGTGCATCAGTTATTGAAACTGCCCAGCTGGATCTTTACTTATCAGTCTACCTACATTGTGGTACATAGAGCCGTTGCCTTCAACACCCGACTCTGTTTTCACACTCTGTTCTTCATCACGAACACGTATGATTGGATATCCTACCTGTAATATTGATTATTCAGGTGCCTTTACTGGCGCTTGATCAGGTGTCTGTTGGTCTGTTCGTCGAGCTCGGTAATCAGCTTGAGTGCAAGTCAGTGGAGTCTTGCGCTGTTACTAACTCAGGTTGTCCTGCCGAACTCTCTGTCAAGCGAGAAGCATTCGATCGCTGATGTCCAATTGAGGTAGTCTGACAACGTCGAAGCTGACTTCACACTCTGAGTGACGATAACTGTCGTGGCTCGGACACGTGTTGCATAAGCCGATTCAAGAAGGCTCTCAGGCCGGACGTTTGCCGGCTCTGGCACTGAAGCAGTCAGTTGAACTGGTTTCTCACCGTCGGCTCGGAAGTCGATCTTCTTGGTCTCTACTAGTTGGAAACAAGACTGAGTCACCATCTGTGCAAGTATTGCGGAGAATAGCCGAATATGGATGGATGTAGTATGCCACAGTCATCTTGTTGAGTAACCTCCTAGAAGGCCTCTGGTGTAGTGATATAAAGTGGGTTGGAACTACGTCGATTATTGACAGTTCAGGTGCGTCTATCGTTTGTCAATCTGTTCGTCCACCTAACGGCCAGTGTCCGTAATGTCTGCAGCCATTCCATGATGTGAATGCCATTTCTGTCATTTGTGCACCGTTCTTACGCTTGCCACACCCCGAGATGACCGTTTGATTGTCATACGATCCACAAGAAAACTCTTCTAGTCCCGCTGATCATGCTTCAGAGTGCCAACCAGTCTGGGGGTGATTGCAACCTATTTTACTCCTCAACTCTGTCTTTACTGCTCATCATCATCATCACTGTCATCTGTAATAACCGCGTACTCGTCGTACAGTGTTTGTAGCTGCCGCAGTTTCGTTCACCAATGATTTGGGAGGGGGGAGTAGGTAGATGCGCATTGCAGGTGGGAGCTGATAAATTTGTGCATAAATCCAGCACTGTCAGTCGGCTGTCAAGTGGGGGTTTGGGAAGGGAGCTATGCACTGAAGGCAATAGCTTGGATGCACGAGCGCCATTGAGGGCGCGACTGGGCCATGTCTGACAATGTCTCTAGCTATTGATGTGGCCCGTCTCGGGGTCCCCATCCAGGAAGACGGCAGTGACCAGCGCAGCTGAGTTTGCTGGTAAGGACCTTCATACTTCGCTGCCAGGTCATTGTTTGACCGCCTCTGGCTCTCTTCCACCCTTCACGTGGTTGTGCGGAAAGAGCCCTTCGAGGAAGTCGGTCGACTGGCATACGCCCACAATTCCTCTGTCTCAATTGACTTATCTGCGGGTGTTTGCTTGTTTTCTCATATGGCCAAGCCATGCGTGGCAGACTGTTGATGCTATCCTTTTGTACGACGCTTCAGTATCAGGTGAGAGTGAAGCGAAGTGGATTGTGTAGAATTCAATCTGATGAGGCTCGAATCCGGGCAAACCATTCATACTCTGTGGTCTGATGTGTTCATAGATTTGGTGACTGCCAACCTCGCTTCTGAATCGTGCTTCTTTGAGATCGCTACATTTGTCCCTGAAGGCTGACTGAACACATATCGACATCACATCATTACTCGTTCAACGAGCACCGATAAGGAACCATGAAGCGGACCGGAGATTGTAATCACCCTCGTTCTCGATGGATCTCGATAGGTGCTCAAACATATCTTGATACAATGACTCATGCGTAGTAACTAGGCTTATCCGTTGTCTCGATTACAGTCCTGTCTCCCGTACGGCAACCATTCTTTCCATCCTTCGATCCTATAATCATTTGAACCCCATGGACCGGTTTCTGAGTTGTGCCTGATTTCTATCGTCAGCATTGATCCAGATGAGATAGATTACCCGGAAATGGTTGGGTTGTGAGACCGGCACTGCAGGACGAACACTCCGTTGCTTGACGCACCGGGAAATACGGCTTTACACGTCGCTTACATAGCTATTCGGCTTACCATGGCACCACGACACTGCCGGTCTCTTTGCACAATTCCTCTGTCTCAATTGACTTATCTGCGGGTGTTTGCTTGTTTTCTCATATGGCCAAGCCATGCGTGGCAGACTGTTGATGCTATCCTTTTGTACGACGCTTCAGTATCAGGTGAGAGTGAAGCGAAGTGGATTGTGTAGAATTCAATCTGATGAGGCTCGAATCCGGGCAAACCATTCATACTCTGTGGTCTGATGTGTTCATAGATTTGGTGACTGCCAACCTCGCTTCTGAATCGTGCTTCTTTGAGATCGCTACATTTGTCCCTGAAGGCTGACTGAACACATATCGACATCACATCATTACTCGTTCAACGAGCACCGATAAGGAACCATGAAGCGGACCGGAGATTGTAATCACCCTCGTTCTCGATGGATCTCGATAGGTGCTCAAACATATCTTGATACAATGACTCATGCGTAGTAACTAGGCTTATCCGTTGTCTCGATTACAGTCCTGTCTCCCGTACGGCAACCATTCTTTCCATCCTTCGATCCTATAATCATTTGAACCCCATGGACCGGTTTCTGAGTTGTGCCTGATTTCTATCGTCAGCATTGATCCAGATGAGATAGGTTACCCGGAAATGGTTGGGTTGTGAGACCGGCACTGCAGGACGAACGCTCCGTTGCTTGACGCACCGGGAAATACGGCTTTACACGTCGCTTACATAGCTATTCGGCTTACCATGGCACCACGACACTGCCGGTCTCTTTGAGCGTTATTTTGTTTTGTCGCACTGTAGAATTGTTCCCCTCCCACACCTGATTGCATTTCACTCGTTTTCAATGTCCCCCAATCTCCGAGATCTCTATCCACACAGCTGTTATTGCGTCCTGACCAGGACGGCAGAACCGACGTGGTAGAATAGCTTCCCAGTTGGCAAGAATGAAGCCACTCCTGCAGTGCATAGACCGATGAAAAGTTCATGAGACCCGCATTTAGTTGCTGTCCGTGGAATGTTTGTTGCTCGACCGTGTCCAGATTCCAGACTGCCCTGTCAACCATCCGGTTCACCAGGTATCAAGAGTGCCGCATTTCACAATGTATCTTTCTGTGTGTGCGCGCGTGGTCCATTCAAACATGTGAACCAGCGTTGTACAGCTGTCTCCTACTATCTCCTTCATGGGGGACTTTAAGGCTATACGCACCTCCCTACTCCCACCACTTGTGAATTCCATTGTCTTGTTGAGAACGCAATGCTGGCTGATCCGAGAACGTTGATTCGCTCGACTTGTTCATGCGGTTCTAGTGTCCCCCTATCAGATGCTCCCCGGGAATTCCTGTGCAGTGCGGGCCCGACTCACCGCTTCCCATAATAAAGTTGTCTCTCCTCCCTACACTTTGGACTGTCGCTTCACGGGTCTGAAAGTCATTCAGATCGGAAAACAGGGTAGCTTCTCCTTTCTATGTAACCACACGTGGATCGAAGAGAGCGGTCTTTTTCGAAAGATCGCCCTGCAAACCACGGCAGGCAGGCAGGCTGGTGGACTGTCTAGATTGGTCTTCTTCACTTAGGTGCCTTGTGGATGACCGTACTTTACTAGACATGGCTATTCTTCAGCTAAATTTGTTTTTTTTGGATGTTCCCAATATTCCCGTTGGTTCACATTCTCCAATTAGATAAGTTTACCTTCTCCCCTGCTCCTTTCTTCAAGCTTGCAACTCAAGAGGCTGCTGCTGAGGAGGCAATCGAACGGCTCTGTCTGCAGTGTCGCCACGTGGAACTCAGACTGAATGAAACACATTCCCGGTTGAACGAGTATCTTCAAGCACATCAAGAAGGACGTCTCCTGTTTACCGATATCACTGAGAGTCCACAGACTGCCTCCAAGTGCGTTCACCCCTTTTCTGACTTTTTTCCAACATTTTTCATACTTTCTTGTCCTAGGCTATCCCATTCCCATCTTCTGTGCTATCCGGTATTTGTACTTTGGCGTACCAGTGCTTTGCTCTTCATTTCACTCGTGTCTGAGATGAAGAATCTAGGGATGATTAATCCAACCCGCCCTACTTTCTATGTCATGGTAACGGAGTATACTGCTGATGAAACGTGCGAGTAGTATCTGGTCATGGGTCAAGCCCCGTCCCTGCATCTAACGGAAGGTTTATACGGATGGTATTGAATCGCTTTGCAGTGTCTGCTGATTAGGAAAGTTCGAGTCTTGGGGCTTTTTACTTTGCAGAAAATGTGTCTAGTAGCGCGTAACCGTTTAGTTCGCATTGATCAGTAAGCAACTCCGCACTAAAGGATGACGGGTCGACTCAGAACATTCAGTGCACTGTATGTCAGAAGCTCGGGAACGTCATTCCTTAGTACGGGACTATCGTTTATCAGCTGTGGTGTAGCTCGGGAACGTACGGGACTATCGTTTATCAGCTGTGGTGAAGCTGTGCACTTCAAAGTCCTGACCGAACGCTGCTGTTGAAATTGGCTACTTGGCATATACAAGTAGTGCATACATGAGTTTTCTTAGCCCTACCCAACAAATTCATTTGCCAAACCAGTCCGGACAGAATCATCCTTGAATGTTAACAGGTTCAAGTGACGTGATCCATCTACAACGAGAAGTAAAGCGAGAATGCGGGGGCTAGACAAAACTGCTCGCTACTGCGACGTTCTCACTAGTACGCTGTGGAGATCGTCAGGACTGCCTCCGTCGTTGACGACGTGAGGTGGTCGCGTGCAGTCCTTGTCCTATTTGACTGTAGTGAGGACCGCTCAAGCCTTCTCCTAACGCGGCTATGCGAAGCGTGGTCATATATATATTTCTTATAGGAAGTAATCTCATTCGAGTAGGCAAATGTGCCCCCCCCCCTCAAATACCACCTCACAGTTTTCGGGTTGAGTCACTGCTCACTTCTGTTTCGCCGTTTTCCGTTCATCTTATTTTCCCCTGACTGCTATCCGTGTTGTTCCCCATTTCAGTGGTCATTCGCCAAACGTTGCCTCTCCAAGCAAAACGGTCCTCAAAGCAGATGATGCGGATTCATCATTACCGGTGAGGTTTTTCCTACGTTTCTTTGCTATTTTTGATGATGAAGCAAACTGTTCATGTGTCTCAGTCGACGAATCTTACAACTCCGAGCGTAATGAGACTCCTACCCACCTGTGGGCATCGGAATGGTAAAAGTCTGGGACTGAGGGGGGTTGCACGAACGAGTTGAATTGATCATGAACAAGAGCTTTTCCCATAACTAGAGATTGTCTAAGCTTGGGTCTCTCATTTGGTCTCCCCCAGAGGGAGGATATTGAACCACCGAAGTGCTGAGCATCGCGGTTGTGCAAAGTGTCGATATTTGGATGCCTAGAATCGACTTATGGTGGTCGTTGGCTTGTTCGCTGAGCTGGACAATTCGATTGCAAACGTTTCATCACCAATCAAGGTGACATCATCAGTGCGTTTTTGGGGAGCGTAGCGGTGGGCATCCCCTGCCGTCGTAATCTGTCAAGCTCAAAGGTCACGTGGGCATCGGTGAATGGGGACACGGGACAACGGAGCAACCAATGGAACCGACCGACCGAACAACCAATCGCGATCAAAGGTCACATGCGTAAGACTACTCAACGCACAACCACTAACCCACCGCCAGGCTCCCCAATAACGCACGGATGATGTCACCTCGATTGGTGATGAAACGTTTGTAATCAAATTGCTCAGCTCAGCGAACAAACCAACGACCACCATCTACGCTACCTGAGCTACCGACATTTCCCTGTATAGAGAATCGACTTATTTTCCATCATCAATTCAACTTCTGCTCGCTGGGCTGGTCTACTCTGTGTTATCTGATTTAACTTTTGTCGTGGCTTTGTTTTTGCACCAAACCATTTCCGTTTGTGATTTGTTGCCATGATACGTGGAGTCGCATTCAATCGTGAATTCCTTTCATGTTGGCGCGACGCCGGAAGAAGATCTTTCGCCCCATTAAGTCCCACAACTGTATATTTCATTATAGGTCGTACGAAGCTGGCCTCTTGGGCGGCATCTGAATGGGCTAGTCGCTAATCTAAACCCAGACTGTCGCCCATGGCCTCAAAGTTTTGGACACGCTGCTTCATTATAGTTATTCATGTCTGGTTTATCTCCATTCCGACGACTTTTTAGAGGTTGTGGCAGACGTTGCTGGTGCGAGTAGTATCCATCCCGCTGGTTGGACTGAGGGGCAGACACATTTGGTTACCCGGACGCGCCGGTGGGATAGGCGACGACTCCTGACACCCACTGGTAGGGGTGTGTCCACTCAAGCCTCGCATGGATCAGCTGATTCGACAGAACTGAACCGGTAACTCAGAGGGCTTCGCGTTACACAGTTCGTCTGCGAGTTGTAAGTAGTCGGTTGACATCGCTCCGAAGTTCAAGAAACATGAATCATTCTCATCATGCATAATATATGCAGGTGATCAGTTCCATCGACCTGAGCGCATCAATAATGAATAGCCTTCTGCTACATTAGAAATGATCCGTTAGAAATTAGGTGTCGTAACACCTGCAGCATCACAATTCATTTGTGTCACGATGAGGAACAGTAATCCCCGTATATCATGCCGAGAAGAGGACGGGATTTGAGCTTTAGTCGAAATTCTGTCCTGTATCCCGACAAACATTGTCCGGCTGTTTCATTCTGCATAGAAATTGTCAGCGATTCGAACCCAACACCATCCGGTCAGAGCGGTGTTCAGACAGGACGTTATATCAGTCAGTTTATGTCACGTGACGCGGTATTGGATCCCCCCAACCGGTAACGAATTTCATATGCGTATGGACGGATTGCTTTACGAATGATCAGTGGTGCCCTGCGGATTGATTGCGACACTAGGGCGTTCTTAAATACTTGGTTTACTTTAGGGGCTGGTTGAAGAGGGCAGCTGAGTTTTCCGCCTTACCTTGTACACAAAGATAGGTGAAAAATTTTCCAGTTGATTAATGTAGGGACAAATGAGGGGGCGAGATGGACCAAGCGGTTAGAGCGCGAATTTGCTGTTCAAAAGGTCCGTGGTTCGAACCCGACCTCTGCCTCTCGACTTTCCTTGTCTAGGCGGGAGCAACCTGGCAGTATCCCAGCCCTCGTGCTTGCTTCTGGTGGCATGGCAGTTCGGTACCGAAAGAGTGTTGCAACTGAACGATCGAACGATTTTACATGAGGCTAAACTGATCCTTGTATAGACGCAACACACTGCTCTTCGATAGCTCATAACCAATTTCGCACTTCTTGAGGCTCGTGAGTCCCCGTCAACCTTATGTTCTGCTTGAACCAAAATCGTACGAAATTCGACTCATACACTCAGTTGCATACCAAGTTGGTTTTCACAAGAGACTTTATTTGAAACATCACAAACGAGAGATTCAGCTGGGTTTCAGGTGAGCCTGTCGTGACAACCGAATTGGTATGCAAATGAGTGTATTTGTCTAAACCAATCCTTTCGATGGTAGTTCCTCCCTCCGAAGACAGCAGCCCCCCTAGAAAGGCATGCCATTGGACTACACCATCAGACGAAACAAGATCAGGCTGTACGGATATGAAACAGTACTAACGCGCTGGTTTGGTGGGTCAAGTACCTGGGAATCGAATCCCGGCCATGGTTTAGCATTACAGACTGACCTGTAATAAAGGCAAGGCTCGAGTCCAGCGCTTCTCCGCTCCCATGAGCGGCCGATAACCAAATCGAAATAAGCCGGTCATCAAAATCTGATGCGTCCTCTCCACTGGCCTAGCATTTCCTTGACTTCTTCAGTATGAATAATGTTTCCTGCGTGTTTTCTTTGGCTGTTGGTCCACGCGCATGTACGTATCAAGTATTTGAATCAGTTGGTTCCAAAACTATCACAATGCATAATGTTCCAAGATAAATCATTCAGAGTCCAGGTTACTCATGCATTCGGACACAACAGTAGATCACAGACTTGTCTATAGAAACAGAATAACTGTCGGGCACTTGTGCGCCCGGTGTCTTCCGTGTTTGACTTTGTTTTAACCCCATTGCCCTAATTTGCCTTAACAGTCAAACAACGCGACCCTGAAAACCGCCGCCGGTCTGGGTGAGTTATACTTCGTTTTTACGTTTTCTCTAGACGTGTTACCCCCTAAGTGCAATGCGTTTTGATTCCAAGGAGTTGATTGGAAGCGAAGAGGCTTGGTAGTCCTGTAGGTTGACCACACTTTCGTGTTTCTGTGCGCAAAAGCCACGAGCTGTTGTCTGAATTGGTTTTTAAACCGCACCACTTTAGAGCCGGACGTTTGTCCGTTGTTCAGGCCACTGCGTTGTATTCAAACTACTGCCAGTAAATGTCTTTTTGGTTTTCTGGTATTTCCTGCTACGGGTCTTCCGTTCCGGAGTTTTGGACAGCCGGCCAAACCTTGGGCTGAAAGAGTTGGGATCGGATTCCTAAAGGACGCAGTAATTGTTATGACTGAATGTTCACGTGGGGAACTGAGGAGCATACGTGACATTTGCGAGAACAATATGCTTTGTATCAGATCGTATTTGCAGATCTGATACCGGTAGAGTCATTTTCTAACGCAAAAGGACTGGCTTTCGGGATCCGTTCACTTATGCTACAAACATTCGGCTGAACTACTCATAAGTAGTCGGAATGGTTGGCACAAATCGCCTGTCACGTTGAGTGGAGATTTGGAGGTATCTACTCAATCTCAGAGAAAGCTTGTTTCAATGGGACGCTGAGTCGCACCTTTTAAATGTTTTATTCTTCAAAATAGTACTGTAAACGAGAAACTACTGTTAACAACAGCTTGGTTTTCAAATGGGCATCTATCTCCACCTCTATCGTGTTCAGTGTACAAATACGAACTAAGGTGGATGGCTGGTACATCTAATGAGCAGCAAAAAGGAACAAACTGGTATTGAGCTGTTCAATAGTAGCGTCACGTCAAAGAAAACAGAGTCGTTCTCTGACTCGACGAGTGACCAATGAGCATCTCTCTGTTGTTGATTCGCGGCAGTAGATCCTGTGCAGGCGTTCATCATGTTAATCCCACCAACCAGGCGGCTTCTGGCCGGATATGCTTATGGGTTGCCGTTTGGGATGCTCAGAGTACGGGTATGTTTACCGCCCCTTCTGGATCCAGCGCAAGTAGTAAAAGCACATTCGCCGCGCGCGCCCTAGTTCAAATACCAGAACACCAAGGATATTCACCGCTAGTCGGCTTCAAAAGCGCAGAATTCGACCTTACTCTCTTTGGGCAGGTCTAAGCGGACCAATCGCACCCGAATAGGAGTGAAGTGGATATGCGACCAATTGTATTCCTCTTGGCCTGATGGGATATCCCCCCCATCCGAAAAAAACGCAAGAGTGGCTGTTCAGATGTGTAAACTGGAGATATCGCATTTCATGGTAGCGGTGTAGTCTCCAACAAGTCCGCTTTAGGTCACGGATTCGTTTCCTTAGAGACCTGTTAGATGGATAAGGAATCTTAGTAAAGATGAAACAGTTTAACAGTTTAGTTTTTCACCTACGGGATAAAATTCACATTAAATGACCTGTATTTGTTAGTTTTACCAATATCTCCGGATCCCGGTTACACCGATGTCGCATCTTCCCTTTTATCCACTTCGAAATATCCGGACCTCTGGTTTGTTCCGTTTTATGCTTGCTTTGTCTACCTGCCGGAATGAGTAGCTCTCAATTGAACTCCCATGTGGCGGCGGACTGCTTTAGCTGTCTTTTTTCAGCATGTGTGCTCTCCTTCCCATTTTCGTTCCCCCCCTACGCGTTTTGAACCAGTCCCCCACAAACACACTTTCCGACTGACTGCTTTTTTGGTCATCTCACTTATCATAGTTTCAGTCTGTACAGCTCTGTTAGGTTACTCTGCCTGCTTTCAGGGGATGTGCTCCACCTCTCTCTCTCTCTCTGACTGTGGATCACGCGAGGATCTCTGACCAACTCGTTGATGCACTGTGCCTTTCTGGTTTCTTCCCCATCGTTTGTCTTCCTCAGTTCGTTTTATCTAGGCGACCAATCGCGCATACCAACGTGTTGACTATTCTTGCATTTTGCTTGTTGTACTTGGGGGGGGGGCGCTCTGAGAAAGTATGAATACTCGTAGGCAGTCCCTGTATGATGAATCCGGAGCAACTGGGCACATGTGACTGACCACACAGCCCTAATTCCCATGTTTGTTCCTAGGATTCGGACAAAACAGGAGCATGTCAAGCCAACGGAGTTTAAGTTCAGTTCGGTTAGCTCCAATCAACGAAAAAATCCAGTGCTACGCTTCCCACAGGATTGCTGGGGGCGAGTGGACCAAATGGTTAAAGCGCGAATTTACTAACCAGAAGGTCCGTAGTTCGAGCCCGACCTCCGTCGCTCGACCTACCCTGTCCAAACTTGGGCAACCTGGCAGTATCCCAACCCTCGTGTTTCCTTTGGGTGGCGTGGCAGCTAGGCACCGAAAGGGTGCTACAGGTGGATTGCTACACTAAACTGGGACCACTAACACGAGAGTTGTATGATAGTCTCTTCGAGTTGGAATAATGGGATCACCGAGTAGCAGGATGAAGGCCGACGGTCACTTCAGTGGTGTGAAGCCTAAATCCGGGTGGTCGAAATCATAACCTTGAGATCATTTAGCGCTGAAGTTGCGAACCTACTGACCGAAAGGCTTGTGGTTCGAATTCGACCCGAGCCCACTCCTTCCAGATAGGATCCAGTGAAAAGGCCAGGGGAGGCGAAAAACTCACTCTCTCAGTTGGCGAAACCAGAGGACTGGATGAAAGTATAACAAATAGCAAAGCCTGTCGGAAGGATATGCTTGCGGGAACGGTCGTTGGTATCCATTGAAAGGCGTTTTCTTGTGTATTTTGGCATTAATAAGCAATGGAAAAAATGCGATTTGAAGGGACAAGTCAGTGCGATACCTTGAGAGGTTACCTCATCCAAGAAAGCCAGGATGACTGGAAACATGGTGGAGCAAAATTGATTTACGAAATGCTGTTTGAAAGGGAAGTGTAACATTCATCTCATTAGTGCAAGGCACCGATCCAGACTTCCTCCTGAAAATGAAGCCAGTCTATGCTTAAAAGCCGAGAAACATTGTTTATCCTTTTCGAGAAATACGCTCATTTGCAAGCCAATTTGGTTTTCACGAGAGACAACTGAATATCATAAGCGAGAGATTCAGTTGAGTCTCCCGTGAAAACCAAATTGATTTGCAAATGAGTGTATTTCTCGAAAACAGTGCAATTTGTGTTCAAGTAGATGATGAGGTTGACGGAAACTCGGGGACTGATGACCCTGATGACCCCGAAGGAGAAGGGCGAAACCGGTCGTGGGCTGTCGAAGAGTTTTTAGCAACCTCGTGAGTAGTTTCTTTTATTTTTTATCCTCAAGAATGAGAGTAAATCGCACTGCTAATCAGCCACTCGTGGCCTCAACTACTACTCCGAATCGCGCCAGAGATTTGTGAGTTGCGCACGACTGTTGGTTCCAAACGGCTTCTCGGTGTGTTCCGTCGTGCCAAGTTTCTGAACAATCAGCGTACTATCCAAGCGTCATCTTTGTGCTTCAGTTCGACTTGGAAAACATCTTCGTAACGTCTGAACCGCGAATCGAAGGTTAGACCGGCATCCGCGTCATAACGGAACTCCGTGATACTGTTGACGATCGAGTTGACTGAATTTGCACTTGGAGCGGAATTTGGTAGTTGAATTTTAAGTTGCTGCGTCAATGTTTCCACCAAACGTAATTGCGCCGCTTCAAACTGGTTTTGTTGTTGCATTAGAATTCCTTTCAACGCTTCAGCAGCTATTGTCATGCTTTCGTGGGTTCATGCGTCACCAGTTTGACATATCTCGGTATAGATCGACTTTACTTGCGGAATGAATATTCGGTTAAAGTTTCACGAACTGCTCCCAGTACCATCAAACAACAAGACTGCGTGCTTGGTCACTCGAAAGTTGGGACATGCTGCGACACGAGCGGTCAGGTCCGTTTATTTTTGTCTTTGCAAGACGTAAACCTCAATAGCATTGGTAGTCCAGGAGTATTAAAAAATATCAGGTTCCTAACAATGCGCAGATTAGTTTCACCCCCCCCCCCTTCATGGATTCTAACTATCCAGGTGAATAGCTTACACGAGTACGATGCGAAGGTCGATTCTCCTGCATCTGATCAAGGTGACCATGAAATGTCCCAAGAGGACCAATCAGACAGCTTGAATGTTGATGAAATAAAAGCGAAACTGTTGTCGAAACCAGCGAAAACAGTGGGCGTTTCGTTATCCGACTACATTCTATCCTTGTCGCTTCTTGCGCGAGATTTATATGTAAAATGGTCTCAACTACAGAGGCAGAATAGACTGTTAATTTATACTTGTTCTCTTCCTTCGTATATTCGAGTTAGCCGTATCCTGTGGATGCCACTTATCATCTGGCTCGCTACTTTGCGTCGCATGTTGCCTCTCGATTGCACTTATTCTCCTCTGTGGCAGTTTCAAGTGCGATAAGTCAGTCACTTTTGGGCATGCGAATGTGTCTGTATGTGTGTGCGTGAAATTTTTGTACACAGTAATCACTTTGTTGTAACCGGTCACCCTATTAATCGAATCCTGTCCAGTTCATTCGAAACCCGAATTGGGTGGTGGGGTTGAAGATGCGGGAGAGCAGGCAACGCAAGATGACATTGCACAAGCCGCTGTCACGACCGGCGAGGCGACGACCTGGTTGCAGAAGCAAGTTCAAGATCGCGCGCGGTTGATTTCTTCCGGTGGTCTGTCCAATCGTCGTCCGCGAACACGTGTGGTGGTGAGTGGACATTTATGTTTGGTTCGCTTCTTAGCTCGTCCCTTATGAGTTAGTTGTATTTCCTTACAGTCTTATCCTTGGGGCGAGATGATTCAGTGGTTAGAGGGCGAATTTACTGACCAGAAGGTTCGAGCCCGACCTCTGTCTCCCAACTTTCCCTGTCCAGACTTGTGCAACCTGGCAGTATCCCAGTCCTCGTGCTTCCTTTGTTTTTTTATCGTTCAGCTGCAGCACCCTTTCGGTGCCTAGCTGCCATGCCACCCGGAGGAAGCACGAGGACTGGGATACAGCCAGGTCGCCCAGGCCTAGACAGGGGAAGTCGAGAGGCAGAGGCCAGGTTCGAACCACGGACCTTCCGGTCAGTAAATTCGCGCTCTAACCGCTTGGTTCATCTCGCCCGAAAAGGTGTTCCAGTCGAACGATTAGTATCTTCGGCAGCTGTTCATATGACAACTTAGCTGTTGTGGCGACAAACGGCAATGCGGATAAATTTACCTTCCCCTTTTAGATGGTTCAACTTCGTTCCCCGAAGCTCACTTGGGCACCCAGCTGCTGATTTCGCTTTAGGGACAGTTCCAACCAGTTAAACTTACAGGATGATCAGTGCGGTATCCGAATTTTCAGTGTCGGGCCGCTACAAAGTGAGCGGCACATGCGGCACCTAGTAATTTAGACCTGACGTGTGTGCGTCTGTGTGCTGGGGATATTGATTCAGTGTAGAACTATTGCAAATTGCACCAGCGAATCTGTTTCGATGCCAGTTAAACATATGGAGTGCCATCCTGGTACTTTGCTTGAAGGTTTTTTGGCTAAGGACAACATGCCGAGGCTGCTAACACCATCAGTTTCTCTTTCCTCAACTATTTATTTCGGCTAAATGACAGCTGTGTACCGAAATCGTGTCTCAGCTGATTCCTCTCATTCCTTCTCTTGCCTCGGTCATACAGAGTGACCAGGTTTGTTGATCAATGCTCGTGTTTGTCTTCAGTTCGTACAACAGATCTTCCTTTTACACAAACGCCAGGGGCGAGATGGCTCCAGTGGTTAGAGCGCGGATTTACTGACCTGACGGTCCGTGGTTCGAACCCGACCTCTGCCTCTCGACTTCCCCCCCCCTGTCTAGGCTTGGGCAACCTGGCAGTATCCCAGCCCTCGTGTTTCCCTCGGGTGGCACGGCAACTAGGCACCGAAAAAGTTACATTTGAAGAGTTTTTACAACATGCGCCACACAGGTCTCGTACATGAAAGACTCCAATGTTCATTGGTCCGATCCATCACTTATCACATAGCTAACCAGACCCCTAATCAACTGGGGCTTGTTGCGTTATTGGTTTGCTCAGTATGATTCATCTATGTTCTCCTATTCTTTCAGTACAGTAGTTGGGTTCAGGTAATCCCACAATACGGTTATACCTCCCCGAATTCAAACTCTTATACCCCGCGACTACAAAGCCGCCACCACTCTGCTTGCTTCTGTTTTGACTAACTGCCTCCTTTTCTACCCTAGCATCATCGGTCCCGCTCGGTGACTATAACAATACACCGCAATAACAGGTGCGACAAAATCAATCATGTGAAGAAATTTCATCCACTTTTTCCCATTTTCCCATCTTACCTATAGATTAATCCGCCACCCACGCTTCTAACCGAGACGAGTGTGTCAGCGGCGTGAGTTTCTTTCCTGTCCTTGTTTTTTGTGTTCATTATAGACTTTTATCGATCTCTCCTCACAAAAGTGCTGATTTCGACTTATGGTCCGATAAACTTCAGTGTAAACGTGCATTCTTACAAATCACCATTCCTCACCTCGACTCCACCCGCACTCAGCTCTGTTGAAATATTCGCCTACTTAAAAGCGGGTAGTAGTATGATTAATGCACATTTTTACGTGATAGTATGTGTCCAAATCCCGTAAAAGAACATCGTTACCCCACTATTCACCTAGCAGCTAGATGTAACGGTCTAGAAACCACTCAAAATTGTTATTCTAACACAAAAACAAATATGAAATGGTTTCAACATGGTTTGGTTCAATCTTTCCGTCACGCCTTCCAGCTCCGACCAACCTTTTAAGCAAACGAACCAAAAGGTGCCCTTCGCACTGCACTTTTGGTTGAAGGGCGTTACGCTCGTTTCACAACATGCACCGTAAAGGGTTGTCACTGCAGAGAAGCACGTTTTCAGAGAGAGTTTATCTCACAAGATTGATCGGCTTTTTGGGTGCTGATCAATGCCCATATCACACGGCGCTGATCGATTACTCCTCGCTAATTAGAGATGACCGATCGCATGGTAACCATGAAAACACAGATGTGCATATTTTGCTTGGAGTTTTTTCTGTTTCTGTCGACTTCCTGAGTGTATTAGTAACGGCAAGTTGTCGGAACGCAGTTTTGCAACGTCGGTCAATTTGGAAGTAGTTTGATGAACGAACGTCTCCTACAATTATTTAACGCTTTGTCCGAACTGCACAACAAAGCCGAATCCAAAAGGTTGCACTTTTGTTGGGAAGTTTTCCTTATTGGGACACTTTTATCCATGTGGAAGTGTTCTTTTGGGCTTTTTCGGTTTCCATCTTGATTTCTAACACATATTGACGTCTATTCTCTGCCAATCTGTTTGTCGGTTTAGGACGTCGTCCTCGGATGTGACCTACGTTCAGTCCGTGACGCAACACTTGCTGTTTCCTGTCCCGACCGGTGGACAGTCGGCTTCGCCAGTCGCTTCCCCCGCCTCATCATCCAATGTTGAGGTCGATGTCAGAGGTGCGGGTAAGTCTTTTTTCGCGCGTCCTAGTTTGCTCTGATGTTGATTGAAGGAGGGAAGCAGCTCGTCTGATAGTAGCATCGTTAGTGCACATCGAATTTAAAAGTCCATGTTGTCGGATTTTAGATCAGTCGGTAGTTTAAATAGCAGAACAAGAATTAGTCACAGTTGGAGATGAAATTCCGCGTCTTGTCCTTGCTTTTGAAACCTCGCCAAATGGCCACTATTCCTTTCTTTTTCGGCTAGCAGGTGACGTCGCCTCGACCATGGATGATCCCAGTAAATCGCCCGATACTACACCGAGTAGCGCCATCCGAACGCCCAGATTGAATGACTCATCTCACTCTTCGCCCGCCGTAAGCTCCACCATGGGTACACCGGACAGTGCTGCCTCGCGTGTTTCGTCCCACAAGGCTATGGGAATTCAATTACCCGGTCTCTCTCCTGGTAAGGGGAGGAATCCTTGTGCGAGATTTTTTCAGTCGTGCATTTTTTATGAAACGGAGAAGTACAATTCCCAGCTGTTTCTCCTCTACAGCGAGTGTCAGCTGAGTTGAATCCCAGACGTCTGTTATGGCCTCTATTGGCCTCTTATTCATTCATTCATTCATTCAGTCAGTCAGTCATTCACTCATTATTGACTCACTCACTCACTCACTCACTCACTCACACACTCGCTCACCCACGCACTCACTCACTCACTCACCTAATCGATTGTCAATCATTCAAGTTGGCCGATGCCCCAAGTTACATATGAAACATTTTTCGATAGAGCTTTACGCGTCGCTTCTTCAATGTGGCACTCTGTTTGTAATCAACGTTGCTTACAAACCAGTTGGACTGTGTGTTCTTCAGCATTTGTTTAATGGTAACTGTAACTCCCTTGAACTGCTGTTCATACGTGTCGTCATGAACCTATTAAAACCACCGAACTTGAGCTAGGTGAGTGCTTAAGGCGCGAACTTACTGACTGGGGTTCGAACCCGACCTCAACCGCTCCTGTCTAGGCTTGGGCAACTTGACATCATCCTAGCCCTCGTAGTTTCTTCGGGTAGCATGGCCCCCTGATACCGAGTGTTACAGGTGAACGATTATGAGTATTTTCTTTACGTCAACCCATCTACCAATGTATAGTGATACTACTGACGGGAAGGCATGCAAGTGGTGTGTTTTCTTCTTGTAAATTCGCTTTGCGTCTGTTGTGGAATTTGTGGAGTCGCCTTGTAACACTCGCTCGGACTTGAGCAATGAATGATTGGAGTCAATGAATAACCAGGAAAGTTCAAGAAGATGCGTTCAAGAGAAGATGGATGTTCAGTTTTTTTTGTAAATAAGATGCAAATGAGAGTTTTGCTTCCCTGTCCACCAATAGTCTGTAACTGGTCAGTTGGCATTTTCTAACAAATAACTCCGCAGCGACGGCCTTTTTCCTTTCACCAGGAATGCTCCAGGGGATCCAACTGCGTCGTCGTTCCCCCACGCCAGACCAACCTGCAAAGGACAGCCCTGGTTCGAAACCGTAGGACCGAGTAAGTTGCCCCCCCCCCATTCAGTACTACACTTTGTTGTTCGGATCTCATATTGGAATAGTTTGCTGCCTATTGATTGATTCACTTTCTCACACTGTCCGCTCACAATCGGATATTGAGTACGTTGATGATATTGCTGTTCTTGGGTCGGATTGCGCTATCGAAGATGTCACTGCAAGACTAAAAAGCACAACTGATCGATGTGTTTGACTATCTCTGTCACCGAAGCTTCAAGAAGGTTGGGTTGATTGCGCTGGGTTCATTGGATGGTCCCCTCAAAAAATAAATCATCCGCGGCGGGTCAGCTGGTCACATTCAGTAGGTCAACCTGATGTGCTTCGTATATCCCCTTCTCACTTAGATATATGTGGGTTGGAAACCGGTTAGAGGTGACTCAGTCGCCCAACTGATAGCGGTGCTGTATCCAGATCCGATTAGGTATGTTTAGCCACCCCCCAAAGGCTGGAACCACCGTGTCTTCATGCGCAGTTCATAGCTGATTGGCTTGCTCAGTCTTTCCTTATATAACTAGTCACTATCTTATGTGTCTTTTATCGATGTTGTTGACGGACGAGCCGATGTATACCTTCTCTCCATTTCACGCGGCAGGGCTCTTCCAAGGCTCTGCAACCATCCCGGGCTTCCAATCATTTATATGTCGTCTTCCCTGTGCCGTTTGCGACCATTCTTCCCGTACAATGACAATGTCACCCAGCAACAAACAGTTTGTACTTCTTTCTCCCTTCGGTCTATTTTTTATACTTGTACCCTAGCTTTTTCTATTGTATGGGTGCGTGCCTGATTCTACTTGCGACGCTATCAATAGGTTACAACAATACGTTCCCGCTTTTTGCCCTCCCTCTCTACCGTAATTTTGACGAATTCCAGTTCAAATTCCGGGTACAGAGCAGCTGGAAGTATGCGGCATGAATCCTAGTTGGATGTCCCATGTTCTTGCTTTTTTTACTTCCGTTTTCCTCCGAGTTTGAGACTATCCACGATTATTAATGGTGTTATTGTGCTGCCTACCTGCACTGCTCACCATTTGTTCTCTTTTTGCGAGTATTGCCACCTATCGAAAAAATGCGTTTCTATTCACCTCATATTGTTTTGGTTCTTACTTACCCAGCTGAGTTGGGGAAACGCTGCGCGCAGCCAGATTAGCAGCCACTTTAGGTTACTCGTATTATACGAGTAGTATATTTTTAAAACGAAAACGTTCCGAATGGTGAAATGCACATTTCCCAACATGCCCCAACCCGGCACTCAGTGACGTGCAATCGTCGCCTGAATGACGCTGTGCAGTGTAACCGAGGTTATTTTTTTGGATCAGTCATCAGGCTTTCCGGGGTTTCTAACCGCTGACTGCTGCTTTGCCGAACACACTGTTTCTCTGTCGCTCGAGACGGGCAAACACAAAAAGGCAAGGACTTATTTACAATGGCATGCAAACTAGAGAGGAACGCAGAACAATGACCGGATCCAAGCGCATTCAGAAGTCTAATAACGAAAACCTGGTTGTGATGAAATGCATTCCAACGATAGGGGGCGAGATGGCCCAAGTGGTTGGAGCGCAAATTTACTGGCCGAAAGGTCCGTGGTTCGAAACCGACCTCTGCCTCTCGACTCCCCCTGTGTCTAGGCTTGGGCAACCTGGCAGTATCCCAGCCCTCGTGCTTGCTTCGGGTTGCATGGCAGTTAGGCACCGAAAGGGTACTACAGCTGATAAAATTTACCCCATCATGAAGTAGTTCGACCTCTGTAAAATTGCGTTATCTTGGTGGCCCCATGGTGAGCGGTCACGATAAATGCAAAATAGTCTTTGTTAACAAATGTTCTAGATGCCATGAATACTTCAACTGACCACATTACCGAATAATTGCAGTCAGAATGGTCAACTTTGACCTTCATTATCAACCAAAATCCAGACAACTAAGCAACTTTTCAATTCACGTACTTCCGAATTATGTTTATCAAGCGCAACATGCAACTTCTAATGTTGATGAAATCCTTTCGATCGATCACGACCGCTTTCGCTTTGCACGGATCTCATCAGGCAGGCGCGATTCGCGCGAGTTTTCGTTGACCCAAATCGGACAGATTCCAATAAATACTCCCACTTGCACACGGATTCAGTTTTGACAGGAGACTCAGTTGAATCTCTCGTTTGGGGGGGTCCGCTTCAAATCAGACGGAGATGAGTCTGCTATTAAAACCAGATTATTGTTCAACTAAGTACTTCTGTAGCGCAAGTTCTATTGCGTACGCTGTCCAAGTGCGAGTGAATCACACTGCCAACCCATTGAGTGTTCAACCGACTAGCAGGGATATCGCGGGTACGAGACACCGATTTTCATGAGAAGTACACTGCTGGTGACCTTGTATAAGGATGCAACAGTTTCTCGGCTTTCCGGTATAGACGGGACGAATGTCCCAAGTTTGGTCACCCTGCCAACAACTCACTTTCCCTTTATTTCCGTAAAATACGCAACACACTATAAAAAGGTCACTTCAGTATGACTTTGCGCAGTCCCGGCTTTTACTGGATGGGGCCACTGGCCAGTTTCTTACCCGTACTTAAAAACATCTATCTGATTAAGAGAGAGAGGACCACGACACAACATTCGTGTTTGGGATATTCCTACAGTCATGTGACTGACCACATTGTACACAAATCCGAACTTGGTTTTCAATCCCTTGATGCCTCAAAAATAGATCCCTCTATGGGGAGGTCACTGCCCCGAAGAGGGCACGATGGCATTTATTCCATCATCTACGGCAGGCGCCGACCAGTGGGAACACGGCTGTATGGACTAAAACACCTGAATTGTGGTAACCACACGGACACGTATTTGGGAACAAGTCTGCAGTAACCGAAATGCAGGTGTCCCGCATGATAATTCAGTCGCAACTGTGTCTTGAATTAGCGCGCATTCTGGTGAAAACAAGACGGGATGCAAGTTGATTAGAAATGTTCTCGATAGAAAACAACCGTACAGAACGTCAACAGCGTGAGGAAAGTTGTTACAATGGGATCCTGAATAAGTTTGAACCCAAAACAATTCAAGATGATAATGATCTCGTTCAGCTGTAGCACCTTTCCTGTTCCTAACTGCCATACTACATGAAGGAGGGCTGAGATACTGTCAGATGCCCAAGTCTAGACAGAAGTAGTCGATATGCCGAGGTTGGATTCGAATCCCTGACCTTCCGGTTAGCACTTTCGCGCCCTAATTCCGTTTGTGATTTGATGTCTTTCTGAAAGAGTTTTATTGGCTTTTACCAGGTGTTTGTGTACAGTAAAGGTTACGTTTATTAAGGACCGTTTGTTTCATGTGTTGTCGATATGCAACGCGCTTTTACTGCTCTAGTTTCAACATATCATTGTAAAATCAATAAACTTTGAGGTATGGTACTCGCCCATTTGGTAGACAGTATATTCGCCCCTCCAATTAGGACCACTCAAGTCGTCTCCCGTGAATATCCTCTGTTTGGACACGTGTATCCATATGCCAAGACTTCACCTGGTGACGAGATGGCTCAGTGATTGGAGCGCGGATTTACCGACGGGAAGTTCTGTGATTCGAACCCGACCTCTGCCTCTCGACTTCACCTCTGTCTAGGCATGAGAAACTTGGTAGTACCACAGCCCTCGTGCTTCCTCCAGGTGGCATGGCTGCTAGGTACCGAGAAGGTGCTATAGCTGAACGATTATTTCCTCGCCTGTGCCTCCAGAAGTCTACTCTACTCCTGACTGTCTGTATAATCAGGTTTGGAAAACCCGTGCAAGGTGGTATAAGCTTAATCATCATAAACAATTGTACTTCAAAGATACTTCAGTTTCACTGAGGGCGGCATCATCTAACATCGAAATGAGAAAGCAGTCGTTTTGTTTTTCGTAAATGCGTGGAAGCTCGCCTTCAATCGGCGTGGATACCATTCCCCCACAAGTGACGCAGTACAAACAGCAAAGTTGACCGGCATCGTAGTAGCCTGAAAGGGACGAGTTGTCCAACGAACCGGGTGCAGCATTCCTGGAGCCCTGTCTTACTTTTGATCTGGGCCCGAGGTTCCTGAGATCGAAGACGTTGGAAGAAACAGGGCAGGCTGCGTTAGCATGAAACAGTGAACTATTATATCATGGTAGCTGAAAGTACAGACCAACGATTTAGCGTTTTTTACAATTTGTCGGTTACTAAAACCGGTTATTTCCGCGGATCAGTAGCATCGCCTGGCACTGCCTGATCACAAGACAGTAGATCGGACTGCTGACAAATGTCCACGGTGCTGTGGTTCGCAAAACAGCCTTGAATACCTATAATTACCTTCATCTTGGCTGTCGGTGTCGTTCAGACAACGCGTTATCAGCAAAAAAGGGATCCACAACTTTTTTCTATTCAATTGTGATGTATCCCTTTAAGGAATGAAACGTTCGTTTATGAAGTGTTCTGAGGTGGACTGTCCAAGATGGTCCCCAAAATCGAAACCTTCGGGTGGTGAAAACGTTTTTTCATGGAAATCGCTTCTTATTCGTTTGTTTGTTTGCTTGTTTCACCTCAAGACAGTTGTCCACTGATACAAACGAAACTGTCGGCTATCGATTCCATTGAGAGCTGCGTTTATTTGATCAGAATGAGCAAAACAATCGGGATGATCACTAGATTGTCCTGTTGTAGCCGAGCAATCTGGTTAGTGGCTACCAAACCCACTATTTTCTTAGTCTTTTTTTATCGCTTGAGGGTATGCTATTTTGTTTTTCGTTGTTCCACGCGGACAAACAAAGCGATCCATTCGTTTGCAATGAGCTAGTAAACGAACTGTTTTGTCCCCACCTGCTCCTCTCCTTGCTCTGCGTTGTTTTCATCATCATCACCGTCAGCACCATCGTCGTCATCATCATCGTCATCTGTTGTGTTGTGCGGTGGCCGAGCTATTGGGTTACGCCTGCACTGAGCCTGCCAGACTACGCGATAGGGAGAAGACAGAGAACTGCGGACACAGCTGTATTGCCGGGACAAAACGTACAGAGCGTCTGCGTAAATATATATAGGATGACTAATTGGCCAAATATGCTCGTTCACTTGTTCGCTCCGTACAGCCAATGGTAATGTTCCGGTCGTGAACATTCTCAGGCCCACTACGCTGGCCGTGTGTTGCTAAGCCGTTTGGTGGGAGCCGTGTTTCGTGGGCGCCGTCAACTCACCTACTTTCCGGACGTGTCGAAACGATGGTGACCTCGGGGATGCGTCACTATCTGCACATGTACTTTTTCTTCTGTCTGGGCGCGCCCTGACATCATCAACGTCATCATCATCATTATCATCATCATCAACAGCAATACAACAGCGAAACGGAAATGAAAGTGTGGGAACTTCTTCTGGAACAGTCATGTTTCCTGGGAGCGATCGAGTAGGTCTTCGCCGGCTCCATCCGGTATTTGGCCAAAAGTAAAAACCAAAAAGTTTAGCTAGAGAATGACTGTACGACTGTACCAATATGGTCGGCTCTTCATCATATCCAGTAGGTTCGTGGTCTACAGACGTTCTCAATCAGGATAGCTTTAACAACCCAACAATGTTTAGTTTGAATGCAAGTACCTTCAATTTGTGTTGCCGTATCACGCCACAAACTTTCCACCAACAAAGGTCTGAACTGAGAACCAGCGCCTTTGCTGACACATGCTGACTGTCTGCGCACCGTATCCTGAGATGTTTTATCAGCAGCTCCTATTCCTTACGAACTCCTCGTTTGTTGCGGAACCGCTTGCCGCCGCAGTGGTATGGAGGCAACAGTGATCCAGTATTTAGAGACGTTTGATTTTGTAGTCAAAACCGAGTATGAAAAGCATGAGTTCGCAACGTCTGTAACTTAACCAAACCCTTTTGCAAAAATTAAAGCATCCTAAGCTTTCGTTGGTTGTTGATTTGTTGGCCCAAACTGGAAACTCACGAACGGTTCGCGACAAAACGAGGAGTCAGCGCGCAGTGGTCGAGGTTCTGACATTTCATTGCTCAGTGGATGAAACGACAGGTCTCGAGTTCCCCTCAACTAGGGTAATTTCAGTTGTAGCACTCTTTCGGTGCCTAGCTACCATGCCACCTGAAGGTTGCACGTGGGCTGAGATACTTTCAGTTTGCCCAAGCCTACGCAGGTACCGTCGAGATGCAGAGGTTGGGTTCGAACCATGAACCTTCTGATCAGCAAGCAAGCGCTATCTCCAGCCCCTTAATTGAGATTGTAAGTTTGCGTGGATATATTGGTGAGTTTCATCTTTCCTGTATCATTCAACGTGGAAAGAGTTCATGACAGATCCCTAACAGACATCCAACTGTTTGCAAGTGCGTGTAGTATTCCTTCTTTTTGCTCAAAAACACACTTTAACACCTCGTTACCAAGAATTTATCTATAAATCATTGGGTGTAACTCGCCCATACATTCCACATGATTCTTGACCCTTAGAGGTAGAACCAGCGGGGTGCCAGTTGATCATGTTCTCCCATTGGATGAGTCTTCTCGCTATCACTGAACACATGACATCGATTATATGTATGCTGTGTTGTGGACCACAGTCTCCTTAGCGCCTTCTTATTGTCGTGAACCCCGGTCTGGATAGCCCATCAAGAGCTTGGTGCGCTTAGTCAAACCTGAAAAGTCAATGAACGTGCGTACCGACTGATCTATTGATCACTATCGCGTACAAGCGGGTCAACAAACAGTGATACTAAGAATACAACTCATCGGTCAAGGACGAGTGAAGAACAACCAATGAAATCTGTTCCAACGGAAAGCGGTTATTCCATTGGCTGTTATGTGGTCTCGTTACGTTCGGGGTTGGTTCTCCTAATAATCTGGATAAGCTGGGTGGCCCTGTGGGGAGTAACTTCCGTTGCCCTCGGAATAGGTGTTTGAGTTAAATCAACCTTCCATATTGGCCTGCTTTCTGCTATTCGTATAAATGTTGTTTAATTTGTGAATCCGCTCAAAAACTGAGTGGTGCTACATGACAGTAATGATTATATGAGCGTCACATAAGCCCAATTAGTCTGTACTAGTTCAACATTCTGGGTTGACATCGGGGGATGACGCTGTGTAAATACTAACTAAAGGCTTTTGTAGTAAAATATGCCTTACTTGAGGTCGTATCTGGCTTAGCACTTCAGGTGAACAGAAGCAAACCTTCGCTGCGGAGTTGTTTCTCACAAAAAACCGACTGAGTAACTACAGACTATTGGACAGAAAGGCGAACCTCTCATATGCACTTCGTTTTCAAAAACTGACTTTCCTGCATATTCATTGACTGCCAAGCAAATTTAAACGAATGCTACAAAGCAATTCCACAAATTCCACTTTCCATTAGATGAGGTCGGAGTTACGAGAAACCACATACTACTCGCATGCCTCATCAGTAGTATCCGCCGCTACACAGGTGATAGCTGCAAATGTTTATTCCGAATCCAGCAGGTGGTAGCCATTCGGTGGCTGAAGAATGACAACAACTCGTAGCGGCGTTAGGAGGGACGTTTTTTAAAAGAAATAAAGCCTAAACGGTATAATTACATGGCGCACACGATACCAGCTAACATGATGGTACCATCAGCACTGCAAAAATTATCCTAGGTGTGACCGGAAGCGCATGAATGACGCTTTTGGAATGATATCACATGATTTATTTTGAACGTTCGACCGTGGTGACACCGGTGAAGCGTTTGAATTCCACCGTTCAACTGAGTTGTCTAGACTGTGTGGACGCGAGGAGAGGCTCCATCCAGAAGGAGGCTCAGCTGACTTCCCACATGTCAGGAAAAAGTCTGAAGCGATGCGCATTGCTGCTCCGCTACAAAAACCCATCACTTTGTAAATTACGTTCGTGAATGGACTCACCAGAAGCAAATATTTGTTTACCCCGAGGATTATTTGATCGTGTTCTAGAGTAGTCGAAATGACCAATTAATTTTAGCAAAGTTTTAATCCTGGAGATCAAATTAATTCGTACTGAAAGTCTTGGAGCACCGTATAACTGTTTAAGCTCTGTTGGGAACCCTCAGTTCAGTAAACCTCACTCGTCATTCAGGGACGGGGGGCTCTGGTCCGTGCTCTTCCTGTTAGCCACTGAATACAATCGAATTCGACCAGGGGTGGTTGATCAGCAGCGTGCTTAAACACCACCCAGACAGCATCTAGCGCCAACAGCTAGTCCGTTCACATCACGTGATCCCGTACTGACCTGCTCCTTTTCAGGTTGAAGGCCTGCTCTTTTCTGGGAAGAATATGCGTAATCTGTGAGGGCGAGGAGAGAATGACGTTCTTAAAAATGCAACGAGGATGTACTTTACCAGCACCAAAGGCTGATCAAACAGGAGTGACTCCGTAGAATGTTGAGGTTAAACAACAGAATACTATACCTTGTTGGCCAAAAGTGGCTCACCTCATTGTGTGACTGACCTGAGACAGATCTTGTCCCGTAAGAGAACCCCCAAAGAGAAGCCACTGCCCAGGGGAGTGCATAATAAATTTCATTGTTCTATCATCCCTGGGGGAAACTACCAAGATAAACGTGCTCAAGTCTTGATACAGACCCGAGACAAACATATTTAAGCCCCATGCTGAAAGGGAACATGATGAGTAAGGTTGATACAGCTGTAATTAGTTCCCAAACAGCCATTATTCGTAACCTGCAGATGTGCTTCAAGCAGCCACCTCATGTTATCTCATGAGGCACCGGCTACCGACTGTTTGGCGGTAAAATAGGGACGGCCAATCCTCAAAGGCAAGATATATGTCAGTTGAGTTACCTCTCTTCTGTCGTGGGCCAAATTCACCTAGGGCAGTACGGCTCTTGTTGCAAGAAATTTGCAACGTAGCACTTTGACTACTTAAATGTACGGCAGTAGCTGGATCTGAAAGATGATTTTTGGATGACCGGACAGGTCCGATGAGTCACACTGACAGACTGCTTATTCAAACAAACAGTATGATTAGGTCTGTAATTAATATCGGGAAACCAATTCCGCTTGGTTCCATGTTACTCATAATCTGACAGAAAACATTTCGGCATTCTGTCAAATCACTCTGAAAAGTGAGCAGTTTGTTTGCTTTCCAAATTATCTGTAACCTTTATAATTATGTTGGTTCTGCTACCTGAATCCTAAAGGATCCACTCCTAGTCAACAGAAAGAACCGATTTCCTCCCTTTGGCAGTTGGACCGATAACTCTCAGATTTTCATAAATTCTAAAAGCAAGGGGTCGTGATTTCACTGTCACAACAGCCTAAATCTGGTGTGACGAACCATCCTATCGCGGCTTCTTTTCAATACTGGTCTGGCTACGCGCCCATTTGATTGTTCCCCTTTGAATCTTACGACTTTCTGTTTGTCCCTGTTATTGTTTGTTGACTGCCACGTGTTGTAGACCTAAAGCCGGTGAACCTTGAATAGACTACTGAGGTACCGTCTGCTAAAAGAATAGGTATCCCTCACTTTGGTCTCAAATTTTTCGAGGCATCAGTCTTTATTCAACAACGGTCTGACAATGTGGTCTCCAGGAGTTAACCGCTCGAAAAAGCCTGTCACATAGCGTGCATTTTTTCTCTGCTATGCCTTGTGAACCTAACGGAAGTCTGTCGTGAACGAAACAAGTACAAGTGTAGGCTGATGATAAACGCACCTTTGGTTTTCGGATGCTTTGCTATTCAACGTTTTTTTAATCGAGGCTCGGAAAATCTGCCTCGTCTGAAGAAGCGAAGACCCGAGGGCACGAATCATGTAAACAATATTTTTTCATTGGTCTCATTTGACTGACGGGTTCGAAAAACTGAACCACCCTGTTTCCACTTATTTGAAGCGTATGCACTCCGAGAATCTAGCATTTTCGATCGAAATGCACGCCCGCTGCCTAGCTGTCAGGACCACCTTGCTAGTTGCATCCATTTTTTCCAGGGAAAAAACGACAGTTAACCCAATCGAAATTTGTTCGCAGTGAAATGGGATTTCCTAAGTATATCTAATCGAATATTTCGGTTCAAATCTATCGGACTCATACAATACCTGATTCAACAATTTTCAATAGAGATGTTGTCCTGTTAGTGAAGCTCATGTATGCTGAAAGGCCGAGTGCGCATCTGATGAAACTCAGAAACTTTCGCACACGTGACCGGCTAGTGGTTGACCACGAGCAGCGTGTGAGCAGTTCTCATTCAGACCGCCCCCAATCACGGTTACTGCATTACGTGATCACGTGTTGACTGGCTGCTCGAGTGATGACCTCTCAGATAGTAGTTCCATTCATGTTAATCACTCCTGTTCAGCAACCTTGTGAGTAGTTTCCTTGATGAAAATATACTGCGATATCTCGAATATTGTGCCAACTGAAACATGAAGTGGCTTGTGTGCA